CATATAAGTGAGGAAATAAGAAACCGGGTTCATTTGCGTGGTGTAATGAACTGAGGAGCGAATTTCACCGTCAATTTGATTTACAACTGACAATTTCTTGGGTCAGCGAAGAACCATTTTCCATTTTCACTGCCGAGGCCAAAGCTATCTTCTCAGCTTTGTCCTACATTAAACAGCAGAATCACTCCAAAAACTTCATCGTTTTTACAGATTCATTATCTTGCCTTCAAGCACTTTAAAATATAACTTCAAGTCACCCAATCATTCTGGACATTTTAGAACTTTACAACGACCTTTCTACTGGCCAATGTGACATTGTCCTCTGCTGGGTACCGGGTCACGTCGACATAGCAGGTAACACAAAAGCCGATGCTGCAGGTAAAGCAGCTCTTGACAAGCCCTTATCTCCACTGCTGATCCCATACAGTGATTTCAAACCCACTATCAAAAGCTATACTCGGGACCTCATGCAAAAAAGGTGGGACACTCAAGTAGGAAGAAATAAACTGTATGAATTGAAACAAACAATTGGTTATACCTACTTGGGTTGTCCGTCAAGACGCGATGAGGTAATTTTACGACGATGTCGTATTGGCCACAGTCGGTTTACACATGACTATCTGCTGAAGACGGATAGGGATGGACCCCCCCATGTGTGTCTCTTGCGATGAGGTTTTCACCATCAAGCATATTCTGCTGACTGTGTGGACTTGTCGTCTGCAAGGGACTCACATTATGATGCAACAAATCTGAAAGATCTGTTCTCCCGAGTGAGCGCTCATCTGATAGTGAACTACCTGAAGGAAGTTGATCTGTATCATAAATTGTAACTGTGTAATGTGACTAACGAATTGCCTACTTTTAAATTTGGTTTTTAAATGACAATGTAATAAATATATGTTTTTGAAATAAAACTCATTCCGAGTATGTACTTACACTGTTTATAAATGCAAACTTGTTCTCGTCACTATATGTCTGGAATGATGCCGATGTGACGTAAAAGCCAACTCAACTCAACTATTATACATAATGTGTAACTGCTGATGGGAATCTTAGGCAGCGTATCTTTGAAAATGAAAATTTACATTTCCTGTTTTCAGGACACATGATCTACATTTCAAACATGGCAGTCATGTGGGTGCATTTTCATTTCTCAACCCAATCTTCATTGAATCAATGTATTATATGAAACTATGGATATACAACTTCTTTAATATAATATGAGCGACGTTTCGGTGTAGCTACTAACATCATTTTTGCTTGATAAGGGTGTTAGTAGCTACACCGAAACGTCGCTCATATTATATTAAAGAAGTTGTATATCCATAGAACTCTCCTCGTTTTTGAGCAGGAATGAATGATGGTTACAAAGACATAACAATATAACAATATTGTTTTCAATTGTCAGTAACGTGAAATCAAACTCGGTGTATCTTGAAGATGAGGACAATATTTATGGATATAAAATAACTTCTTTATTCTGTATAGGTCTGTATTCGACATAGATTCTTATTTTGTCAAGCAAGTGGTTGGCGACGACATTAGAATATATGTCAAAACGTCGCCTATACAGAATAAAGAAGTTGTATATCCATAAAAATTGTCCTCATCTTCATCACCTCAACTTCTAGAATGCCAATCAAAGAGTGAGTGAGTGAATTTACAGTCATATCGGCAATATTTCAACCATATTGTGACTAAAACAGGTTATAAATTCATCATAATTACATGTAAATTATAAAAACCTGTCAACAAAAGACAGTAAAACCAACTAGAATATCTCAGTTTCAAGAATTAAAACTAGCATCTCTCTCTAAAGTTGGATTTCAAATTAGGACAAGACAGTATGAAAATGGGGTATAGATCGCCAACAACTGACGGTAGATCACCATACTAGGAACCATGGGGACTTACAGTGCCTTTGCTACCTGCATGGACCCTAGTTGGATTTACACCATCCCTTCAGATGTTAGCAATTGTAGACAAATCTAGCCTTAAGTTAAAATAACATATATCCTACGAATAGATAATGTAGTAGGTTTAAATTTTCCTTGAATGTTTCGGGACTTGAAACAAAGACGTCGGTGTAGCTTGTTGTGTCTTTGTTTTTAAAACATTAGACGTACAGACATAATGCAACACTGCTGCTGATGATGACGATGCGAGAGTAAATTGATAATGAAGTTCTTGAGGTATGGTAATACTGTTAATTTCATTGGCTTCATCCTTCCATTCTCATCTTTGTACATTAATCCAATCTACTTGGCCTCGTAATTGTATTGTTATCTTTGTATTGTTTATTGTATTGTTATCTATATATATTAACTCTGGGCACCGACTAAGCATTCGCCTGATGAAGGAGCAAGAATTAGCACGATAACGTCGTATAAAGAATAAGATGAAGTTGTTACCCATAAAAACGTGTCATGTATTCATGAAATTGATAAAGCTCAAAGCACCCTATATGAATAATACATGAACAACAAGTGTAGCGGACTGACTTTTGAACAATAATCAGCAGAGCAGGGGCTGCACTTTACTTTTGAACAGCCATCTGTCAAACCAACTTGATGTGAAACTGATATTACACGACTGGATACATGTTTTATATCCTTTCAGTACCTCTTCTAGTATGATTAGCAACGTGTGATCGCACCGAAACTTAAATTCGAAACACAAAATACTTAGTAAAACACTCCATTAAACAACATTTTCCATCACAATAACCATAGTATATATTAAATTACACATTTACATGAAGGTGTTTAGTATATAAGCACGTCATCTTCACATCTTCGGCCAACGAACAACTCTGGGCACAGCCACGCAGAATAAGGTAATTTGTGTTCTAAACATGCTCGTATTCTGATATCGAAATATGCAGGCCAAAGAACCAAAGACTTCATTGAACTATCTTGTTTGGAAAAGGTCCTAACTTTTAATTCAGTTAACTTAACTTAATTGAGGTTTATGTCAGTTTTAATGTCGGTAACAGTTTATAGAACGGATGGTAGTGGCAGCCATGGTTGTCTATGGTGCAGTTAGAATTGCATGCAAAATATTGTCCATTTGTATATTTATTTTAGAGGCAGCTTCCAAGAAGCCCTAGAGATTGAAAGCATGACATCACATTTTCGGAAATTCGAATTAGTGGTATTATATTTTGTTTTCGAAATTCGACCAACGTTTCACCTGACGTATGTCTTTAAGTCTTCACGCAGTGAGAACGTCTACTGAAGTAGTATATCTGATTTCCACGAAACTGACAACTGTTAATTATGTCGGAGAATCAAAATTGAAAACGTTCCAAACAGGTTTAGTGGTAGTTATCGTAAGCATATACCTACAGGCATTAAATAAGGACAGAAAAATGAAACAAATGAAATATATAGTGTCTCAGGTCTGCTGTACACTCCTTGTTCACCAGTAAAAGTGTAGAGACTGTGCATATGTCGCTGTCATTGTTGATGTGATGTAATATTCTAGATAAGTATTGAGACTATAGGACAAAACACTGAAATGAAAAACGACAAGATCGTCAATTCTAGAAGACTGTACAGAATACAGTGTGCATTTTGACAGAACACAAGTGGCAAGAGCATGTTTAGGAAATCAGAATATTGCAAACTAGAGTTGTATGCAAATGACTGAACCCAGTCTGTAGACCATTATAGGTAGGTAGATATACAGTGAGTGAGTGAGTGAGTTACGATTTAGAGTCACATCGGCAATATTGCAGCCATATCGTGACTATTACAAAATATACTGTAATAATAAAGAGAAGTTATTTTGTAAAACCTGTCAACAAAGGACAGTAAAACAATTCGGCTATCACAGATAGAAAGTTAAAACAAGCATGTAAGCATAAAACATGTATTAAAATACAGGACACTACAATATAAAAAAAGGGCTATAGATCACAAACAGGTAGGTAGGTACCTTTGCTACCTACATGGACCCTAGCTGAATTTACATAATTCCTTCAGCTGTTGGTGATTTTTGCACAATTTAACCATACATAAAAAAATACATATATACTAAGATTAAAATCACGGACAATGAAAAATACTGTGAATGAAATGGGTCTTACATACCCTCCCTGGGGGACAATAATTTTACGCCAGATACAGAGAATAGACCGGAAATTTCCTTTCAGCTCTTTACTATCCATCGTTTTTACTCACTTTATGGAAACGATGAACGAAACAAAAAACAAAGAAAGGTTATCGGTATGTAGTTTCAGGCATTATATGCTCATCAAACGACGTTTAGGAGCATTCGATTATTCCATATTACCATATTTACAATCTTTCATGCTATGACATGATATGAGGGAGTGAATTTAGTTTTACGCCGCACTCAGCAATATTCCAGCTACATGGCAGACATGATATGACATGCTATGACATAAGATGACATGATAATATGACCAATTAGTTCACAAACAAATATGTGAGGTGAGGTGAGGTAAAATTGGATTTTACGTCGTGCCTGAGAATATTTCGCTCATATAACGACTCGCATGCGTGTGTATGTGCGGCTGCTTGTACTAGCCCAGACCAAAGCTGTTTTTTATAGTGCTAGCCCGCTGAGATACCATGCCGCAGTGAAGCATGAATACCCCACTCAGACACATTATACTGACTCCGAGGCGACCAGTCCTTGTTGTACCCATTAATGCAGAGTGCCAGGCAGGGACCAACAAGTACCATATTTTAAAGTCTTTTGGTATGACGCGGTCGGGGATCGAACCCGCGACCTTCCGCTCTCCGGGCGGACGCTCTAACCACTACACCACGGAGGCGGTCTCAAATATATGATAATACATCGCTGCGGTGTTTGTTTGCACTTTTTGCTCATGACATTTATTCCTTAATATATTCTATGAAATTCCAATCTAAACAAATTTCTATTCGCTAAGAAATTCTCGCCGTTGGTCTTGTTTAAAAAGTCTGGTGATTTCAGCTATTTCAGAGTCCACCATTCAGCGCTTGGAAATAACGAGATTGCCATGATGCTCTTGTTCGTCTTCGGTCTCGTCACCTTGTCGGTTCTCGGAGCTAACTGTGATAGAGATGCTCTACTATACAGGGTGGACATCTCTCTGCCACCCAAGGAAGAAAGGGACGAAGCTTCAGACATATTGTCTATTAAGGACAAAGTAAACAGTCTAACTGACATCGGTGTTCTGTTCTCCTTTAAGGTTTGTGAAATTGTTTCAACTAGTTGTTCTCACATGCACTTCTAAAATGTACAAAGGTCCCCTTGATGGGGTAACAGAGTATTAAAGCATGGCTCAAATACGCGACCAGGAATCTGGGTTAGAATTTATCTTGGTAGTCAGACTCGCTGACTTGCTTGACACATACCATCGTATCCCAATTGCGCAGATCGATGCTCATGTTGTTGATCACTGGATTGTCATGTCCAGACTGTATTATTTACAGACCGCCGCCATACATCTGGAATATTGCTGAGTGCGGCTTTAAACAAACAAATGCTACCAGGTCTTCTAAAGAGGGTTCTTTGCTTTGTATACTAGCACAGACCCTTAAGATTTGTTGTTTACCTGCGATATCAGCATACACAAGTACATAAAGCTCATGATTTGTTCAATATCAATACCTACTAATTATTTGTTTTTGGTTTGAAAGGAGCTCGGGAACCCAAGGGTAGTTCTTGGTAAGTCAAGTGATAAACACTTTGTACGTAGCTTTGCTCTCTTTTATGTATATATTACGCCTATATGTTTGTTGCATGGAACTTCATAAAATCCCAGAATTTAGAAATTCGTATTTAGTTTCAAATAATTTGAAAGATACGATAAGTTCAGGCATATATTTTACGTTTACCGAAAATGTGTTTGGTTAGGTTCAGTTTTTTTAATTCTTGGATGATGTTTTAGTTTGTGAATTGCGAACACCTGTTCTATAAATCCATATGTGTAAAGATGTGTTTGTGATGCGTTTGGTATAAATGAGGACACGGCGGTAACACGGTCATATTTCGACTGTTATCATAGTAAAGCACTTTACATGACAGAAATATGTAGATCAGTTTCTTCATGCCCAAAAGGATTCCAGAGGGACACGAAGATATTAATTTCGAATTTTCTAATGGTGGATGTATGTTTTCTGTTACTTGAAGATCTGCATGTAGATATATCTAATGCATCAAACAATTTGTGCTGCCGCGGCTTTCAATGTTTGTTTTCGGTCATTCAAAACTTGGTGTTGGTAGACATTGAAAGAGTAAATACATTGAACACACCAAGCAGTCTCCCCAAGACGTCTAACCTGTCGTGGCTTTCATAACGTCCCTTTCGTAAAAATTCCAGTGCTTAATGTTGAGAAAGCCTGCAGTTGGAACCAGTTGACACAATATCTGTCAAGCCGTGGATATGAGTACAGCGCTCAGGCGCTCTACCACTGTAGCGACTACGCCAAGGAACTCGGCGTCGACATTCCTAAGGACATGTGGGAAACTTCTTTTGGGGACGAAGAACTTATGATTGACCAGAAAACATTTCCTTTCAACGGTGTGTCTAAATTTTAACTCTAAAAGATATAAGAAACTGGTACGGAGATGTAGGAGTCAATAATTCTAAGAAACATTGCATTCACATGTAAATGCATTTGTACTATTAGTTGGTAACACTTCAGAGTCACACCTCATTGTTTGTTCAGCTGTTGACCACTAGGACCTAGTATGGTTGATACCCATGAGCATAGACCAATCACATCATGTATTATATATTAATCATCATCCCCTTTTCAGATTTATCTACAGTTGAGTACAACCTCAAGTTGAGATGGACATTCGAGAAGGACATTGACATCCTCAAATCTGGTCAGAAGGGGGGCGTGTTTCAGAGCTCTGGCAAAATACCCTGTTAAGGTGACCCTTTTTACACGGCTCGATGTGTTGTGTATATGACTTTGATATATTTGTAGGAAGCCTTCAGATCTGGATAGGGGACAGCCTAACGATATGTCGTCCCGATTGCTGAATGCAACTTACGCATATACGCCAATCCGGAATATATCAATGTATATTTGGGACTAAATGTTTCTTGTGAAATTCTGATATTTGATCACTGAGTATTGAGGATGTACTTTTGATTTCAGCTGATGTATTTTGCTCCACTCAAACCATCTAGCGTTGAAGCGATAGAAGAAACTCTGCATGCTCCTGGGAACTTTAAAGCTGAAATCACCCAAATCCAAAACTTGGAATATTACACTGGACAGTGTAATTGAAAATGTGGGGCATCCCAAGCATCCATGGTATTACCTCACTAAAAGACCGGACGTAAATTGACTCCCTCCTTGATAAATTCTGAAGGTGCAAAACAAGTGCTTTGTAAATCATGTATGTAGTTTCCGGACTTCAATAAAAAAGACAACAGCACCTGTCCCTTTATCATTTGTGATATTGCATTTATACTGAGTCAAAAAAGAAACTTCACATTCTTTCTGCAGGGCACTATAAAAGAACAAGAGATGGTAAGATGGTTAAATTGTTATTATTTCATTGCTGAGATCTGTGTGATGTACTCGATACACTGACAGTGCCATAATCAGTTCCATGAGGCTACACCACCGTTCCAAAACATGGGTATACAGAATGTCAAGTCACAACAATAAAAATGCGGAATTTCTCAGTTCAATATCGTTTATGGCCGCCCCGCGCATTCACCACTGCCAAGCACCATCTCCTCATCGACTGCCTGATGCTTGTGAACACTTGGTTGGGGATTCTGCGCCATTGCTCTTGCAAGGCAGCGCCAAGTTCCTGCAAATTGTGAGGTTGGTTCCTAAGACCACGAAGCCTTCTCCCAAATGGATCCCAAACGTGCTCTATTGGATTAAGGTCAGGGGACCTCGATGGCCAGTCCATGACGTTGATTCCAGCGTTTTGAAGGAAATGTCGTGTCAACATCGCGGCCGAGCATTATCATGCTGGAACTGTAGACCTGGGCCATGAGCCGCCATGAAAGGAACGAGTTCAGGGGTGAGCACCTGGTCGCGGTAAGCAGCAGCTGTGAGGTTTCCACGGATGACCAGAAGACGGGAACGGTTGTTCCCACAGAAAGCACCCCACACCATGCAACTTCCGCCCCCGAATCTGTCGACTTCCTGTACACAACATTGGGCATACCGTTCACGACGTCGTCTCCAGACTCGATGCCTGCTGTCCGCTTATCTGAGGGTAAACCTGGATTCATCGCTAAAGACGACTCGATTCCAGTCTCTCTGTGTCCAACGGAGGTGACGTTGGGCCCACAGTAGACGTTGACGTTGATGAAACGGCGTCAATATTGGCACAGGATATGGACGTCGAGAATGGAGATTGGCAGCCCGCAACCGATTTCGAATGGTCGGTGAGGACAGTCGACCTCTAAACATCTCAGCCCTGGTCCGTGTAACCGGGAGAAATCTGTCACGTAGGTGACGTAGGACGATTTGACGGTCTTCTGTTCGTGACGTCACACGTGGACGACCCGACCTTGGGCGATCAGAAGTGGTGCCAGTTTGTTGTAGACGACCTCGCAAGTCATACACAGTACGACGGCTGCATCCCATTGCTCTTGCGACGTCAATAACTGATCTTCCAGCTTGCAACATGCCAACGGCACGTTCGAGTTGCACATTTGACAATCGTGGCATTTCAAGTACCGTTAGAACTGTGGTTTAAAAGTGTTTTTTTCAATTCTTGAGGCCAATGCAAACACGTGTATATGAAGAAAACTTCGATGCGAAGATCACGTGATCGACTGCACGTGCAAAACCTGATTTGGCACTAACGTCATTTGCACGACGACTGGATGGGTTTGAGTGGGTTTTGCTAACGTTTTTCTAGAGTCGAAAGATAGGGATCCCATTTCGGATACATAGATGTATCATCAGAGAAAAATTATTCATTATTTTTCAAATTACATTTAGTGAAGTTTCTTTTCTGACTCAGTATTTTACATATGTAGTCACATTTTCCAATATGTAACCATACACCACACACTGGAAACAATAATAATAAACGATACACTGTGTCACAGTTCGTGACGATATCTGTCGTCTGTAAGAAGATGGAGAGTTGCTGAAATGTAATAATTACAAAATGTCATTGGTGCTATTCTGCATTACTAGCTCAAAAGTGAGAAGTTGCACTACATACCCAACTCCGTGGGACATTTTATTAACTTTGCCAATCGTCAAATATTCATGGATGTAGTTACAAAATGGCCTTCATCAAAAAAAAGAAGAAGAAAAAACAGGTATTGATGCAAACACTGTATCGGGAATGGCAGAGGAATCAGATGCTAATAATTCGATGCTTGATTAGCAGTATGAGGAGGAGACTGGCAGATGTTTTGAGTCCAAGACTGGCTACGCATGATACATATACTGGTGTAGTGGTCTGTTGTGGTTCATACAATCAGAGCAACCCATTTCTGGTGTCCCCTGCCGTGACAATCAGATTGCTAAAAGCGGCCTTAAAACTAAAAGTCAGTCAGTGTCTACAATCAGAGATTTGTTGGGTAGTCAGGGTGACCATACTTCCCAGCATTGTTGAAGTTCACGTTTTTGTGTATCCTTCTCAGATTGCAGTAATGTGTTGAAATCACAGTAAATGTGTTAAAGTTACCATTTTAATCCGTGTAATTTTGGTTTTCAAAGCATATGTGTCAATATATGTTTTCGTACTCATCTTAAAAAAGTTGGTTATTGCACGATTAATGCCCATGGATATATTTCATTATGGCATTGGGCATGACATCCAAATTCAATACTGTAACTTGTCATTTGTAATATAACTACCACGGGGACTGTAAACAAGACGATTAATGTGTCACCATGAGTTTTCAATTTCTAATAAAATAGTTCATGAACAGAAACCTGTGTATTGTCAACTATCCTGGAAACCTCACAAATTAATTATGCTGAAATGGTATTTTCTAAAGCAAATGTAGAGAAAATATTTGATCTGACATTTGTGAAATCGAATTAGGCAAAATTGTGACTGAATTGCAATAATTTGATTGGTTTTATAAAATATTAAACAATGAAAAAATGCAGTTCACTTGAATAATATAATTATAAAATAATGACTGCTCCCTTACCAAAGACAAATCTGGATTATCTGCCACACTTGCCCTTGAGTCTAATAATCAAAAGTTTTTATTACTGAAAATATCCAAAACTTTAACAGGATTATTGTCCTGGACTTATTTTGCTAAATAGTACGTGCATTTCCAATCAGTATTGATCAGGGCCTCCTTTCACAAAGCACTAAGGTGATCGTAAATCACTAAGGTAACTTTAGTGCAGTTTTAAAGAATGGGAGTTAGAGTTAACTTTAGTAAAGCTTGCTTCGTGAAACCATAACTTACTTACTTTGTCATGGAGCTCCATTTGCAAAAAACTGTCTGTTGCCTGCCATTTTGGATGGAGGGACATTTATATTTTGCGGATGTTTTAAATTAATGTAAATTAACTGTTTCTCCTCTTTTCTTGTTCCTGTAAATCATTAATTGTGGAATAGTTGGTTTGTAATCATCGGCTATGCTGACTGTGTAAGAGGAAACAGTAAAGAAAGTCCGCCATTTTTGTCAGACTAAGTAAACTTAGGCTCAGTATTATTTGTTACACTGCTATACTGAGTCTAACAAACCTTAGTAGAAGGTCGCGTCAGCTAACCTTTGAGCTTCCTATGACCGTCCAATCAAACGCGAGACGACTGAACGGATTTAACCCTTTAGAAAACGACTACTTGTTAGAGTTCGGCGGGACTTACAAAACGGTTTTTGGATTTTCTCTTTTATGGTTGCTGACGCTGATCTATCAAAACGAAAATCGGCATAAAACACAGATATTTTACCTGCAGTTTATACACTTAGGGGTTTCTAATGACTTGGTTACTATTAGCCTATATTTCATCCTTGACATCCAAGATGACATCCTTGAATATTGTGTTTGAAATTGTACTGAATATATCTATAACTACTTCATTAACGTTTCAAAGAACTGTCTTGGCCTTAATTTCTTTCAAAATTACTCTTTGCAAAATGTTCAATATAGATTTATTATTTTGCCTTGAGTCTTCAATGCCCAGAAGGCGATGGCTCATGGGCCAATCTGGTAGAATATGTCTTTTCAAGATATTTTTTCTACTTGAGTATATCCATCTGGTATCCTTGGTGCCATCTGTTGGAGATCCACAGATGTAAGGCATCGTCCTTGTTGTCACTCCATGGTGGGTGGGGAGCCAGATGGATGAAACATACTTACTACTAACATGGCACCCCTTACAAAAACGTTCACATGAACCTGAAGATTCCTTCTCATCAGAGGATGAAGGGGCTTCAACGCCTCAACTGAATCCAGAGAACTGGTCTAGATTTCTGGTCATGTCTGCCACAGATGGAAATCCCCTCAAGTTGAATCCTTTTGCCATAGCAAAGGGTATTGAAGGTTTAGTTGGAGAGGTGAAGGCAGTTAAAAAGCTCCGTTCTGGCTGCCTTTTGATTGATTGTAGAAAACAAATACAATCAAAAATTCTTCTTTCAACTAAAACACTAGCTAATGTTCCTGTTCAGGTTTCCCTCACAGGACATTGAACTTCAGTAAAGGCATTGTCCGTGATGCCATACGTTGCCTCTCGGACATGTCTGAAACAGAAATTCTGTCAGAATTGACATCACAAGGAGTCACTGATGTAAAACGTTTTACATTCAAAAGAAACAATGACATTGTAAATACTAACACCTATTTGTTTACATTTGGTCTGCCAAATCGTCCAGAATCACTTAAAGCTGGCTATTGTAACCTGAGGGTGAATGCTTTCATCCCTAATCCCTTGAGATGTTACAATTGTCAGAAATACGGTCATGGATCAAAATCCTGTCGAAATCCTGCTGCTTGCCATCGATGTAGTGGAACTTGCGAGGATAGCAAATTATGTGATAAATCTGCTTCTTGTGTTAACTGTTCGGGTAACCATCCCTCCTCTTCCAAGGAATGTCCCTCGTGGAAATTGCAGTCTAAAATCTCACAAGTCAAGCATGACCGTAATATAAGCTTTCTAGAAGCGAAGAGAATCGTTCTTGCGCAAGAACAACCTGGGCCAACATTTGCACATGTTGCATCCGCTCCACTTGCGGTATCAAAGCCCCAAAATATCTCCCTTAAAACCATAGCTTGCCAGACCGATTACACATGGGCGAAGACAACTGCCCCTACATTATTATCTGCTGCAGTCACAGTGACGCCTTCAAAAGAGACCTCTAGCTCACAAACGGTTCTTCATTCTCAGGAATCTTGTGATAAGGATTCGTCTTTCTGTGAGACACAGCCGTCATCACAACCAGCTCAGCAGTCTACATCAGAAACAACTGTGAAACATATTGCGAA